AATTGGAAAAAAACTTTAATATATATTGAGAAGAAAAATCTGCTACCACCACTGAAGGCAAAATACTAATCCCGCAGTGGGATATTATGCTTGTATTTTTGAGTGCAGTACAGCTCCTGAACAACTTACACAATAAAAAAGGGAGTGCCTGGTCTTGCATGACAGTTCATTCTGCAAGATGCACATTCAAATTCAGCTTTGTAAGACATTTTCTTTCAAATAAAAATTGGTTTAGTTCAGCATCTGACATATCATGATGCTATTTTTTTCATTAACAAACATGTGTCTCTGTCTCTCTCTCCACAATGCAGTGATTACTGCTCGGTTTGTTTTTACTAATTCCCAATTTGGTTAATCCTTTTCCTATTCTATACCATGCTAAATAGGCCTTACCCACTTTTTCTTGATTTTTGTTTCAGAAGACATATGGTAGAGCTGATACTACATTTCCATTTCTTCTAAAGCACTAAATGAACCGAACTGTTGAATTTCTTTATTCTTTCTGGAAATTCCTTCAGAGATGTAGAAAAAGATCAGAGGAGCAGGATGAACACTGCTTTCTAATCTCAGGCAGTTTCCTGTAGGGAAGATTTAGTGGAGTAAAACTTTGAGCTTCTGACTTGTCATTCTACTCGCAGTGGCTTCAGTATTGAATTGTCATGTTTTTTAGAAAAATTCAAACTTCAAGTTTGGGAGCTTAATTTTCTGGTTTAAGAAGCTATCCATGTGGTTCAGGAGCCCAAGAATGACTTTAAAAGTTCCTAAATTTTCTTGTTAAAAACACTGATTTATTTAATGTAATTAATTTTTGTGTGTTAGAAATCTACTAGTAATAATGAATAACCAAGAAATTTTGAAGTGGATAAATTAATGCGTATGGAGGGAGTTAGGGCAGAACCTAAAAAACATTATATGCAGTTTAGCTGCTCCTGGCCCACAGATGTTTGTTTGTATGTCTAAAATTAATCTGTCGATTCAATCTAAATTCATGAGGTTTTCCCCTTCTCACTTAAAAGTTTCCTAGGTGCCTGCTTGTTGGTACTGAATGTGCCCAGAAGCACTTTCTTCTGAAAAATGTGGTTTTAGTTCCTTGCTTATGCCACATTAAATTTGTAGAGGTACCTAGACCCTTCAGAGATCTTCATCTAGTAGTATGCATAAATCCTGAATGTGAGTTAGCACATGGAAGAAATTTTAAATAGCTGCTTTCTTTTTAAGACATGAGGAAACTTGAAAAGTGATCACCTCTTTGACTTGACTTACTAGTGTCATTGCTGAGAAACGGGAGATACAGGTTTGTTACCCTCCTCAGCCTAAGGGATTCAAACCTCAATCCTTTGTGTTTTAAGACAGTGTTTTGGGCTACATACCTAAAGATTCCTACTGCACATCAAGAGTTAATTAACCTTGCCCTCTTTGCTTCACAAATGTCCAGTTTTGGCAAGCAGATAGCCTACCAACTAGGAGGCTGTCCTGCATGATTGAAAATACAGGCTGGAAATCCCTCTGTGAAGAGGGAACCGAATCCCCATAGCTCAGCTTCTGGCCCTTTTAGTTGATACATAGTATTATGGAAGAGCAGGGCAGCAGATTATCCACAATTTCTAACAGGTGATTCCTCCTCATTTCTCCTAATTCCGGAGAGGATTTTAGTTTCTGAATTCCAAGAGAATAGCAGAACTTTACATATCCCAGTCAGCCCCTAAATCCCTAGGGAGATAGGGTTTGGCGGGCACATCCTTTTGATTTTAGTACTGTGTACTCGATACTGCTGAATGACTTTCATTTTGGCCTGTGAGATTTTTTAGATTGCCATTGTATCATCTGTCTAGCTCTCCACTTTCCAAGGCACCTATCTGGGTTTGTGCATTCTGCTCTGGAGCACAGACACCGACAACACAGACAGGAGGTGCAGAGCCTATGCAGATCTTTGAGGTATAGAACATGACTTTTTAATGAAGACATAGGGGAGAGCAGAAAGCAAACATGGTAGTAGGTGGTAGATTTCCAGAAACACTTTATGATGAGTAAAAAGAAACGGGTAACTCTTTCTAAGAACAAACCAATAAAGCTGATGAGAAAAAGACATAGTGGCAGCTAAATGCAAACAAAAATAAAATTAAAGAAATTGTTTGTTTAGAACTATTTACTGTGTTTAATAAGGGAAGAAGGAGGTGCTAGTTTTTTAATAATTATACCACTTTTGTTCCCTTAAATGCAGAAGGATGAAGTTTAGCTGTTTATGGTAGGAGGCTAGTTTTAATGTGTCCTTTGAAGGCTGATACCATAGACCTAGTGGAATTCCAACAGAATAGCATCGGTGGGAATGCAAGAATTGAGCTATGCATCGGTGGAGCTACCAGTGAAACTGGTTCCTGCAAAAATAAACTTCCCTTTGAAGTAAGCCTGGCGGAGTAGGTGGGAAAACTGTCAATAACTGTTCCTATTTGCTTTCTTGTGGAGGAAGGGGAGAGCAGAGGGGTGTGTTCCCCCTAAATGCTTACCTCTGACTTTAATTCTTAATACTTCAGGGGGAGAAGATGACTGTTGAATGTTTGATGGGGTTTTACGAATTGTTGTTCTTGCCTTTCTCAAGAAAAATAGTTAACTGATTTACATTTCTCAGGTATTACTTGGGAAGCATAAGAAATGAAGGGATTCCCCAGCCTAATTTTTCTTCTGAACTTTAGGTCACCATCTGAGTTTGGCTCAGAGATCAGATGACCTCAGCAATGTACAGCTTTCATCATACTGATGATTTTTTCTCACCCTGGTCAGTGAAAAATTTAGTCATTGGAACAGAACCCCAAGGACAGTTCAAGCTCTCCACTAACAGAGATGTGGAACTGCTGTCTCCTCACAACTTCTCTTTAATTATTGTCACAGTTTTCTTAATAGTGTCTTGCTCCTTCCTTGGAGCTCTACTTGTGAAACTGCGTGTTTTCAAGGAAGTGCTTACCTACTAACAAATTAGAAGAATGTATATTTCTACTTTTGTCATTAGATAAATTAGGATCTAAATGACTGTTGGAGCAAGAAATCAGTGAAAATACGTAGTTGTTAAGGAACAGCCGGTGTCACAGGCCCCACTGGAGACTGTGGTAGATGTTTCCTGCTCTGTGGCAGTAAGGTTGGTGTTGGTGTGGTGCTGTGAATGCCCTGACTGGGGTCACTGAGGGTTCTTCAGCAAGTACAGAATGATGGAGTTTGTGATGGCACATTTTCCCTTTGAGAGCTCAGCTCTGCTCCACCGCAGAACCTCAGGTCCTTCTAACTCTTCTCAAAACGTTGGCAGTATGTACAAACAAGTAGATATACATATGAATGTTTAGACTCAATAGAGAAAATGATAATCCAGTTATTTTTCAAATAGAATTTGATACCATCCATGTCAAAGACCATCTGGGAGCTGTATGTTTCAGGCATGATTCAGTCTTTTTCATGTAACTTGACCATTATCTAGAAAAAGGAAAATAACTGCACATTCTCTTCAAACTGGTTAAAAACAATATTTTCGGTACAAAGAAAGGCATTTTTATTCCTTTTTTTTTTTTTTTCCCTCTTTTATTTCTTTTGTTAATTTTGAAAAATGTTACATGGTGTTCAGTTCTGAACCTGAGACAGCTCTGAGTCTTTGTTTGCTTGTTGAAGTTTCAGGAAGTAGCCTTTCTCAGCATCCCTGCAGAACTCCTTGGAATTTAATCTCCAGGCTGTTTCTACCAATATCTTAATTCAGCCAGTTCATTGAGAAAACTGAGATTTCCAGTGTGAACATCCTATTACCAACACCTACTCTGGCTGCTGGATTTTATAAAGTGTCAAAAAGGAAAGAAGAGAAGGGGCTGCAGTTTTAACCCACAGTAGTTCCCTCATTTAAATTCAGTGCATGGCTGACTGGGCCAGCAGAGGGAAGGGAACTGGTGGGGCAGAAATGAAGGGTTTGAAGGAGGTGAACCGCCTTGTTTTGATACCTAATTTCCATTTTGTACCAGTGTGAAGTGATCATAAAAAGAACTACAGACTCTAGCTCTTATTTTAGCATGGTATGAATCACCTCCTGGAGACACTCACCTCCTTCAGGGCCCTTGTGTTTATTTTTCTGCTAATCCCAAACAATACAGGAGCTCTCTGAAATGTCTGGCAACATCTCTCTGCCATCATCCTTACAAAGCTGTCACCAGCTAAGTAGATAATAAGGACTGCCCTCTCTTGCATGAGCTTTTTGATCATTTACATCATCTTACTATGCCCTTTGTAATAATGATTTCTGCCTCCAGAATATTGGTACTTATTGAGGAGTATGTAATCTGAGGCAGGCGAGTTTCATGTGCTCATATGGTGCATAGGACAACAGACAGCCAGGAGCAGGGCTGTTCATTGCACTAATTATAATAACCTTGTGTTGTTTTAACACATGATAGCTTGACAAGTTATTTTCCTTATGAGGTGGATTCTATGTACAAAATATCATTTTCTCAGTGATCCTTAGTGTTGACAGATGTTCTGTTTCTACAATATTGTACATGTACTTGTGCAAGCATTTTCTTCTGATTTTTAACTGAAGCCACATGTGCTACCTTTTCATGTAGCTGGGATACATGTTTCATTTCGTGTATTTCAATTCTGTTGTGTTTTTTCTTGTTGTGTGGCACTATGGCTTCTCCTTTGTCTTCCGTCATTCAAGCTTGCAAAATTGCCATGAAAATTCAGCAACCCGGGCACAAAATGTACTTATCTGTTCTTACATAACTGGTAACAATCAAAGAGATGATAATGCTTTGTTTGCTCTTCACAAATTTTCTTCTGAAGGAGTTTTGTGTAGCATTTTGTGGGGTCATAAACAGAACGTTTTTATTGGTACCTTTCAAACAAACTCTATTTCAAATGATAGATTTGTCAAGTAAAAGCTGAGTTGAGCAAGGATCAAGGAACTTGGAACTATGAACAGAGAACTCATGTCTTGTCCACCATAACCCTTTCTTGTACTTTTTTCCTTTTAGTTGCTGATATGTGTTCAAGATGAGCGGGATGGGAGAAAATACCTCTGACCCATCCAGAGCAGATTCAAGAAAGCGCAAGGATCCTGATCAGCTTGGACCCAGGTTAGACCATTTACGTCTGAAAACATTGAAAGACTTAACAAAAAATGTTACACGTGCATGTGTTTTTCAGTTAGAAAATGACAAACTTAACCATTCTCTCAAAGAGAAGACAGTACCAAACTATTCTGGTAATCTGACATGAAATATGACACTTTTATAAACTCCTCTTTCAGCCCTAAAAGAAGCACTGAGAAACGCAATCGTGAGCAAGAGAATAAATACATAGAAGAACTTGCAGAGCTGATTTTTGCAAATTTTAATGATATTGACAACTTTAACTTTAAACCTGACAAATGTGCAATCTTGAAAGAAACTGTGAAGCAAATTCGTCAGATAAAAGAACAAGGTAAGAAGACTAATTAATTGACTTTGACTATTTTCTGTGTTGATTGTTACTTTATTTTTGTCAAACCCAATAGACTCTTCAGCTTTTCTTTAGCAAGTTCCCAGGTTTTTCATTAATCAGTAATGAAAAATGCTGTAACGTCATGTGAATGGAGTGTGTTTTGTCATATTCAGTATTTTAAAAATAAGCTTCACAGAAAATTCAGAAATTGCCAAGAGAGAGAGAAAATCTGTCAGTCCGTTGTGTGCATCTAATGGGGTTGAAATCAGTTGTGCTTTTACAAAAGTTAAACTAGCAGATGGCTTTGGAGGAGAAAAAAAAAGAAAAGACTACTTGCATACTCTTACAAGGATGATGAATCCATACAAAATAGGAATAATTCAGGAGAGTGGGGTATGAAAGCATTCTGCATCCCCTTTTGCTTTCTTTTGTTGGTATGAATAGATATTGTGGACTAAATTATCTGCGTCCCTTAAATGATGACATCATATCCTCAACTACAATAGATTTGAAACTATTCTAATCTCTAGATAGGGTCCTGTTATAAATGTAAACCAGAGAACGTGACAGTTTTCTTCCTGTTCTTTGTCTAGAAGATTAGTTTTTTATTTCTTTTCTTTTGATATATTTTCTATTTAAAGAAAAACACCAAATCTTTTCAAAACTTTAAATTTTTGAAAGTGCATTTTGTGGCACAGGTCAGGCAGGAATAGCACTGCAGGTGTTTGGGGCAGATTCAAATTCTTAAAGTAGGTGTGTATCATTTTTCTTTTAGTGTAGAAGATTACAATCTCTTCATAAACTGTGTTTGGAGAGGTTCCTTTGTTTTTCAAACATTATAATTAACATCTTTCGCTTTTTTAGTATTCTGTGATTTCTGTGGGAAAACAACGCTTCCTTTTCCATACTGTATATGTGAAGTTAGAAAAGTGGAGATTGCGTGTTGTATAATTTAGATATAGATTTATTTCTAAAACAAATAGCTAAGTAGATCTGCAGTTTCAGACATCAGCCTATTCAAAGCTAAATGAACAGTGGAAAGTGCCAAACTGTGTCAACTGCCTTCAAAGTGGCTCTAATTGATTAATCTTCAGGAATGTTCCTATTTCTCAGCTTGTTCTCTTCTTATTGCTATTAGGTTGCCATAATTTTAAAAATGGATATTCAAGTGAAGTTGCCGTGCCCCACATTAGAAGTATACCTCTTAACCTGCCCCAGTGTCCATCATCATTTTGCATCTTGGTGGCTTTTGAGATTATTGTTTTTTCCTTCTTTTCTTTTCTTTTTCCTTTTCTCATTTCCAGTCTTGGATTTTTGTTTTGCTATCACCAAGAGACACATTCTGCTTATCATTACCTGAGAAGGGTTAAGGAGAAAAATTTGTGTTTTCCTGGGAAGTGGGTGCACAGAGAAAAATCTGTTAGTCCACTTGGCAATTCTCTCAGAAGCTCTAGAAAATCTAGTCTGAAAATCTGGCTCTAATTAACAACAAACTTTGGCAAATCCAGGGTTTCATCGTTCAGAACCAATATCATGAAAACAGTTTTTATAGTGTTATAAAATGTTCACACTCATCAGACCAGGTTACATGTAAATTATTTAAATTATTATGGGCCAGAATTGTACCAAAGCTGAATGTACACTTAATTTTCTAAACTCACAATGTTTTATTGCAAAAACAACTGGAAATGCAATTCTAAAGAAACACTAAAATGCTGTGAATACTGTTTGTTTCAGCAACTAGAAGTAGTTTGCAACCCTTGAGCAATTAAGATACTAAATTACTCCTTATGATGTTGATTTGTTGCACAAGGTTCTTCTGCTGAGAACAATTAGATTGATAACTGTTTGAGTCTTCGCATAAAACTCATAGCTGGTACAGACTAGACTTTAAGGCTCTCTAAGGGACATTGCAAAACACTGATACTTTCAAGATGGACATTAATAGCATCTCAGGATCTAGAAACGAAGATTAGAATACTTGAAATTATTCCTTTAAACTAATTAAAAAGTCTGATACAGATTTCTACATGGAAGCTACATCTGTTTGTTGTAATAGAAAATTTAAAAGCCTTTTCATTTTAAGAAGAAATTGAAATGACAGGACACTCTGAAATGCAGCATTGTTTTGGAGCGGGCATTTCATTAACGAATAGGTCGCACATACAGTTAACATTCAAACTGCACAAACAGTAAAGTACACCTATACTTCTGTTGAGTGCCACAAAAAACCTGATCTAAGCAAGGCAAACAGATTGAAGACCTCATGAGGCTATTACTATTGCGGTCTCATGTTTTATGTAGTTTATCACCTCACATTGGGAATCCTGCGCATGTATATATAGATTCATCATTTAAATGCATTAACTTTTAGGTTGTTCCAAAACTTTCTGTTTGCTTTTCCACTGCCAAGATGTGTTAGAAGACAACTTGCATTATCTTAACAATAACTATTTCTAAAGCAAAGTCATGAAAATAATACTATACTTGCATAAAGTGCTCTGAGGCTCAACATAAAAATCGTATTTTCTTACAGTTAAGATGTTTTCTTTATTTTTAGTGTTACACTAAATACATGTAGGACAGAACTAAATAAACGTCCTGGAATTCCTGAGTGATTCTATACTAACATGGACAAATTAAGATGGCTCAGTTTTTGCTCAGTGAGTCTGCTCTGCACTTCTTCAAAAACAGATTAGATTAAATTAATGAAAACTTATTTTACAGTTTTATTATTTAGAAGTTTTAGTAAAGAGGTTAGATTTTTGAAACAAATACTATATATTCTTCATAAATTTTCATCTATTAATAAAATTGTACATTAAAGTCCAATTACTAACAAAAGCACAGTCAGTTATAAATACCTTGTAAAGCCACTGAAAGCAACAAGTTTTATAGCTGTTACTGAGATTTGACAAGGAGACTTTGTTCTAGGTTCTAGGAATGAAAACAAGGAAGGAAGAAATACAGATTGATATTCATATCCCATGTCAAGCTTGCTGGGCTGGTAGCTGAAAAAAGTAAAAGATTTTTTGCTGTGGTAGTACCATATAATTTAGTATAATGTTATCCTGATCTATTTTATATGCAAATATGTATTTGCAATACTATATCTGTTATCTTTATATCATTTCTCACAGTATATATTTTAAAGATTCTTTAGTTGTGGTATGTTAGAGATTCAGTTTATTACAATTTGAAAGTAAATTATAAATATATGCATGTAACTGAATTCATTAGAAGAATTAAAGATATTTGGAAGATGTAACAATTGCGTTTAGTTTTAATCTGGGTTTTGAAATGGTTTTAGTCCTTGGGAAAATTAAGACAAGTTTATTTACAGAAGCTTAATTTTCTACTGAGGACTTTTACCATATTATCTTACAGTGATTGGATAGAGATTTGTGGATGTCCAGAGGAGATGAAAAATTGTGATTTTTAGCATGAAGATGAAACAGAAGTTGTATTCATGTAAATCTTAAGTGGATATTTCTACTGGGGATTTGAGATTTGTGTTTCAAGCAGTTGGGAAAAAATTAATTCAGTTTTTTATTTATAGCATAAAAGTGATATGAAATGGTGGGTTTATGACTGTGTTATTATATGGTCATGAAAGTGCAAGCTCTCCTGTTAATTGCAGTCTGCGTTAAGTTGCTTTGAAAGAATAATAGTCATATAAGTTTCAGATGTGTTCATAAGTTACACAGATGTGTACGAGCACAGTAAGTTCCAATTTGCACATAATTAATAAAAAAAGCTTGTTTTAAGTAAGCGTAAAGATCATTCGGCTCCTTTATATGCCAGACAGCCATGAAGCTATAAACCCATTTGACTGTACTTAAGAAATATGTTTAGTAAAATAGTGTCTGATTGATTTTAAGGTCCTACCTTATTTTTAAGAAACAACTTCAGCACATAAGGCAGATTCATTTCAGTTGTATAAGTACTGCTGAAAATGTTTTCTCAGATCTGAAGACAAGAAAATTCTGACAGCAAATAAAGGAGTCTGGATTCTCTTCTTCCTTATGTTATAGTCAATTGAACTGTTTCACATCAATCTCATTTGATTTCCTATCTACTACATACCTACATTTTCATTGAATCTTGTCATCTGCCTGACTCCTCTCATTATATTAGCACTTTTCTTTCTCATTACTGTTTTTGGTTCCTCTGTTCCCCTATAGCTGATTTTTTTTTTCCTTCTAGGTATTAAGCAGGATATAAAAATTAAACCTTTGCCCTTAGTTTAAAGCTCTTTTTATCCATCATGATAACCTCAGTTTCAGCAGGTAAATAGCTCACATTTTAAAGCAGAGACTATTTGTTACATTTCACTGCTTGAACATCTGGTTCAGGCTTTGAAACCTCCTTTTCTTCGTTATCTAGTTGTGCTTTTACCCTCCTCTCTGGATATCAGCAATGCAGTAGGTACAGAGGGTACTGAAGATCACCTTAAGCTTCTTCAGCAGTTTCTCTACCTTAGCAATCTCCTCTGACCCCTTCAGTAGGAGTGCTGAAGAATGTGTCTTGACATCAAGTACAAGACGTGTTGTTTTTTTTCCTCAAGTCCCCCGAGTACCTTTTATTAAACTCCAGGTCTGCATCTCTTGTTTTTCTCCTTTTACTCTCCATGCTTTTCTATTTTCTGTAGCATTTTTTTAGGATGGCATCCACCTGTCTTACTTGGATTCACATACGGTGGGATATAACCTACTGTGCCAAAGTATCCGCAAATGTGATTTTTATGTCTCAGTTCCATTCTCCTGCAGAGTCCAGCTTTCATCTGTCACCAGTTTCTGAAGAGGTTTTGTGTTCTCTAGATCAACTTTGCAGTAGTACAGGGAAGGGATATCAGGGTGGTGATTATCAGTCTAGCTGTTAATGTATACTTTTGAGTTGTCAGATCTAGTTTTCAGAATAGCCTTACAAGTCAGACCTTGGATAGAATGAATCACCATGTGAAAGCTAAACAGCATTGGGAGAAGGAGAAGTACTTGGTT